GTGATAATCAGTCGTCACTCGCAAAGACAAAATAGACGAACGCTGCTGATAAATCATAATAATAATGATCCCGAAATGAGAGAGAATGCATACACAGACGAGAGAGGGAGGAGGGAGAATAGACTTTGAGAGGGTGGAAGAGTCTCCTCCCTACAGCCCACTTCCTCTTCGGGCACTTCCTCCTCCTAGCAGCATAATCGTGTCTCAATCAGAGATCCGGACATCCAAGACAATGTAGTCCAACAGTGCCACGTGGCACCAGCAGACCAGTCATCAAGCAGCAGCGTGACGACGAAGTTGAAGACACCAGGTACGTATCACGACCCCAACCACAGTCCTGAATCCTCCTTCCGAGTACTTGTCAAGCAGAACAGCAATACAGGCGCCCAGCGCCTTCCACCTCAGCAGCAATACTACGTGGCAGAAGCCACGAAGATGACACGTGGCATCTGCCACGTCGCCAACCCCTCAGACAGTAGTGCGCCAGCCAGCATGCTGGTCGCACAGCACATTCAAGCCACGAACCAGCGACGAGCGTTGGTCGTCAAGTTCTCCCCGCAGCGTCTCACCAGCAAGACAGCATAGAGCCGGCGTTGACGCGAGAGCGTCTCCATAGACTCCAGACGAGAGTCTAGATGTCAAAGCCAGGAAGTCAGCCCAATATGTAGTGTTGACGGCGGGGTCTGGGCCCCAGTCCTCAAGTCAGACACGACCGAGATCGATTGTCGTCGACGGCCTGGATTGAGTTGAAACTGTATCCTCCTTGGTCCACCGTTCTGACTGGGTACCTGCACACATACAAGTCAATGCACACGACCAAGGGCCTGGGCGAGGTACCTGGACCTACAGTTCACTTTGACCTTTGAATTTCTTGCTGTGCGTGGTCACACAGCACCCGCAGCGGCCTGAGGCCGAGCAGGGCGGGGTCGCACTGCTCGCTGGGCCTGGGCTTGGGTTACAGCGCCCAGGCCGCTGCTGAACGCGGTTTACTGCATTCCTGCCTGCCCGAATTGGAGTTCCACCGCAAAAATACTTAAGACTTCAGTCCGCGTCCATAGCTAGCAACAATATCAGGAGCAGTATCCATCAGTTCCCGTCTGCTAAACCAACGGTCTTCAGAGGCATCTTGGAATAGGAATCTCACTTTATACTGCTTCTGAGGTCTGCCTCTTCCACCAGTAGAAAAGAATCCATGGTCAGTAATTTTCTCAACCACATAGCTGCCATTCAGAGGTATGGCAGATGGTCGGTGAGGAAATTCTGTTCCTTCTACATATGGAAGCAGTTTAGACGCGTGAAAGACGGGGTATGTCCGAAGATGAGGGGGAATGTCAATCCGGTATGATGGTCCATCGGCATCCCCTATCACCTTGAGAACTTCCCAAGGTCCTCGATAAACAGGCATCAGTTTCTGAGAAACATCCTCTTCTAGAGTGAACTCTTTGGACTTAACCCAGACCAAGTCACCAACTTGAAAAGTAGACGGGCGCCGGTGTTTGTTAGCTTGTTCATATTCCTTTGTCCCTGGTGGAAGTCTAAGAAACGGATCCCTGGTTAAAACATCAATGGGACGGTTAGGCTTCCAGCCCTTGTGCAGTGCGTTAGGTGTGCGTCCCGTCGCGGTATGCACACTATTGTTATATGCACCGGCAATCTTGGGTAAGTTCTCATCCCAGTCTATTTGGTCAGGACGGACATACATTCTCAGAAGTTGTTGGACCATACGGTTCATTTGCTCAGACTGGCCATCGTTTCAGGGTGTCTACCTAACGACATGGTGAGTCGTGTACCGTAGGCCTCCATCAGCTTCTGCCAAGGCATGCTTGTGAACCTGTTATCGCGGTCAGATTTGATAGACATGGGAAACCCATACTCGGTTACCCATCGCATCTGAAATTTAGCAATCACAAGCTCAGTCTTGGCCTCTGCAGGCAAGGGTATGAACATGGCATATTTAGAGAAACGGTCAACCACAACCATAACTTGACTATTGCCATTTCGGGACTTGGTGAGTTTCATGAAGTCTATGGACACAGACTCACCTGGCTCACTCGGAATAGATAGTGGTCGGAGTAAACCCAAAGGGTTCTCATGAGACGGTTTGTTTCTCTGACATACTTGGCACGTACGAACATACGTTAGTACATCCTCTTTCAAACCCTTCCATTCATAGTGCTCACGCACCTCAGCATACGTCTTCTTGAAACCAAAGTGTCCCTTTGTGTCATGACATTCCCCAATCAATAGACTTTTAAGTTCTTCCTTGTGAGGAATGCACAATCTCTGTTCTGTCTGGTCCAACAAGAAGAGTAAGCCATCAGACAATCGATAGTGAGTAAGTTGGGATGGGTCCTTGGCTAGGATAACCATGATTGGTCTCCAGACAGGGTCAGTGGCATATCCAACGTGAATCTGATCTTTCACATCATTCCCAACATCCAGGTAAGAGACTATAGCCCCAAAGAAATCACTCCTCCTAGATACTGCGTCTGCTACAACATTAGACTTACCTTCAATAGTTTTGAGTTCGAAATCGAAGGTATCGATGAAAGCAGACCAACGCACCAACTTGTCAGACAATCGAGGCTGTGTCTTGATCCACTTGAGGGTCGAGTGGTCCGAGTACACAGTAAAATGTCTGCCAAGGAGATAGTGTTTCCATGTCTCTAGGGCGCAGACTAATGCATACAACTCCCTTTCGTAGGTGGAGTTGGCGACCTTTTCACATGGCAGACGTTTAGACATGAACTCAATAGGGCGGTAGCCCTTGCTAATTTTCAACTCAGCTTTGGTGTGATTATGGCCCGCTCAAGAACCACACACTGTCAGTCATGAAAAGCCTCGCTTGCACATCACAACAGGACCCTTCATCTGACAAATTGGATGAGGTGAGTCAACTTTTATGGAGGGGGAGCATTTAGGTTTCTTAAGCTTGCTGGAATCTGAAGTAGTCAGTCTGCTAGCACTGCACGATTGGTGTGGATGAAGTGCTGGATCAGTTCAGTCGAGGACACTGCCGTGGCTGAAGTTATCAATAAACATACAATTTTTTTTGGATGTAACTACCGTCTTCCCCCGAACACAATGCACATTCGTTATCAGGGTGTATTGTGTTTGGGGGAAGACGGTAGGGCCAGATAGGCTCCCATAGGCTGTGGTGTGAGTAACCTTGTAGTGGGAATGAAAGGCGAAATATGGAAGAGGAAACTCTCTGGACCGGCCGGACAAACGCGGAAAAGATGAAAATCCCAGCAGGACACTGGGAAACGTCAAGTCCCACCTGTGGAAGAAGAAGATGGACGGAACAATATCCATCCTCCTTGCAGGCTTACTCTATCTATCTCCTTCTCTGTCTCTAAGAAAAAGTTCTCTTCTTGGGAAACGTAAAGTCCCAGCTTTTTTTTGCTATTTGAAAAAAAATGCAGGGAACCATCCAGTGAGCACACGGAATTTTCGAGACGCTCACCGAAGACCAATCATGAATAAGCCGAGTGGAAAGCAGAATGACAAAGCCGAGAGCAGACCAAATCAAGAGCACACTGAACACTGATTCAGAACTCTCTTGACAAAGAAAGTTACTTTTGCGCCTCTAACAATCAATATAACAACAATGTAGTAGCCCTATTATGATGTGTCGGCCTGTGCTTCTTTCCTAGTCAACCAAGAAACACTACCCTACTCCCTCTCACTCTCTCTTCCCATTCTCCTCTTGCGAGGTGTGGCTCACAACACCAGGTAGGTATCTGCTTGTCCACACTGCGCTACTCCTCCTGTGATCTCCTCCTTCACCACGGCCAGCTTCTGCTGCTCTATACTGCCTTCCTCTACGGCAGGAACAGGCTAGGCAGCTACCGCTCTGCTGCCCTCCTTGCAGGGCGCTTGCGTGCACTGCTCCAGTGCTGCCGCGTGCTGCCAATGCTCAAATGCGTCTTCTGGCCCAGCCTCTCCTTTTGTTCTTTCTTCAGGCCGGTGTCTGGTCCTTCGTGAAGGTTGTCCGTACCGGTCTGTCCCAGCCCACGGAACTACTCAGGTTGGTATCCCGACTGGTCCTACCAGGTAGTTCCCTGGGCTGGGCTCCGACAAGGGTCCCATCTCTTGCCCAGGCGAGGCCCTCGCTTAGGGCCCACCAACCCTTCACGAGCGGCCTTTGCTGAGGGCTGGCGAGGC